AAAAAAAAAAAAAAAAATGAAAGAGAGGAGACTGGGAGGCCTGTTGACTGGCAGCCCCAGGTCTTTGCGTTTTGCTCAGCTGACAGGAGAGTCAGTAAAGGGTGGCTGGGTGCTTTGGGATGCATTCTGGTGGTAGCAGGAGTATGGCTTGGAGGGAGGCTCTGAAGGAATGAGTTGGTCATTCATTGCACAGACATCTCTCTGAGGCCTAGCAGGGGCTGAGTCAGGGACTCAGGATGTTGAAGGAAGAGACCGTGGGTGTTTCACCAAGGAGCTCAGGCCCGCTCAGGGTCCCAGACAGCCCCCAGGCCTCTGGGAGAGCCCCTCCTCCCCTTCCCTTGCCCACCACCCTCTCTTTGTGACTTCACGTCATCAAACCTACTGTCTAGGTTTCGTGAGGAAATCCATGGAGGACATGGAGCGGGCGGTGGCATCCAGCCCAGAAAGTGGCCTCCAGGTGTCACTCTTGGGGTCTTCCAGAGAGGAGAGGAAGGTGGCCACCCAAACCAAGGCGGTTGACATCCCCTTGTACCCAACAAAGAGAAGTGGTCTGAGCCAGCTTGAGCCTGTGGTCAGCCCTTGGATGCAGTTACCCAACGTAGAAGAAGCCCTTCTCTTCCCTAAAGATGCCGGCCCCTCCCCCAGGGGATTCCCTGTTCTTTCCTCCTGCGCTGATCAGCAGTAAACACTGGACTCACTGCCAGGCACCATACTGGGCCTGCCCAGATGCTCTAGACCAGGCCCCAGCCCCGCAGGAGCTTGTGGTCTGGTGGAGGAGCAAGGCATGTGGACTGAAAGAAGCAGGCCTCCCAGGGCTCTGTGGCAGGGAGCCAAATGGGCAGTGTGGAGCTGTCAGCGGGAGAGGCGTGTCGTTGGCTGTGAGCAGGCAGCTGCTGTCAGGTGGAGAGGGAGGCCAGTATTCCGGGCAGACGGTGTGCCAGGTGCGGCGGCACAGTGAGCCGGACACAGCCGGATTGGGGGATGGAGAATAGGTTGGCTTGGTTAGAACCAAGGCTTTGTGTCACACCACAGGAGGCTGTTGGCCACAGCGCGGGAACTACATCTGCTGGGCGGAGGAGGTAGATTCACCCCAAATCAGTGGTCTCAAAGCATGGTCCTAGGGGTGCCCTGCCCCATTTCAGGGAGTTGATGAAGTCTGAACTATTTTCATCACACTTTTAGAGCTACCCTGCTTCCTGCCTTTTTTTTTTTTTTTTTTTTTT